AGTTCATTTGTGTAAATATGTAGTTTTATTTATTATATGATGTAGGTATACTATTTAGAATTTTTTTTTTAAGGATTTTTGACAAACTGGAGTTCACATGGGTATACAGTAGGTAAGAATGTTTGATACATTTGTAAATAACGTTTAATATTCTAAAATAATATTAGGTTTTCTGTATAACAAAAAAATGTAGCCTGTGTTGTTATTAGTCATACAGTAAATAATAAAATGTATACCTAAAAAATTATAACCTAAAATAAAACGATAAAAATATATCCTGTATTGAAGTCCCTTTGGAATGGAACGTTGGAGAGTTAGTTAAAAAAACAACTTCACAATAGATCGTCTGAAATGTTTTCTTATCATTTTTTTTTTTTTTTTGGTGCAATATTATTTTATTTTTTTAACAGTCGTCGTAGAAAGAATAGGTAAGGAGAAATTCCATAACGAAGTTGTCGCCATCCTTTGACGTGCCTCGTTTTTATAGTGAGCGATAGTTTTTTTTTAAACTTTATAACTTATATAAAAGTGTTGAGGTCACCTCAAATAATACAGTCTCTCGAAATAAAATTTACGGTGTCATAAATCACTATTGAATTATATTTCCTTCACGTGACTTCTAATGGTCTGTATTTTTTATCGACCATTCATTTTCGACTAAGTTGAGAAGATATGGTTTTTACAATGTGTCTGTATTTGTACTTTTTTTTTTAATAATATTTGTCTTTTAGGTTTTTTTGTGCCTGTATCTCCTAAACACCTAAACCGATTTCTTCATGTAGCAAGTTTGTAGATCAAAAATCATACCCCATAGTATTTCATTAGACCAACATTTTTAAAAAGTTCACCCTTTCCCTTTAAAATCGAGAAAAATGAACACATTTTTTTAACTTAAAATTACGATGCCCTATAACTTTTTAAAAAATAGTCGAATTAGTTCCAAATTTGTATGGAATATGCTTTGGACATAGTATTATCAATATACTTTAAGAAACCAAAGCTAAAATATATTATCAACTCTTTTCCTCAGAAGGGGCCGAACCTTTTTCTTTATATTTTATTTGCGAATAAAGTTTTAGGACTTAAAGACTTAAAGGTCTTTATAAAGGCTTCTTAACTCTCAGGACTTCGTGATGTCCTATATATATATTATTATTATTAAATCAATAATACTTTAACCGAATTGATTATTAATGAACGTAATTTTTCCTAAGACGAATAAGCCTCACTAATACCTTATAAAAAACGTATAAAACTCAAACGCGAGCGAAATAGAAAATTGAAACATAAAACTGCGCCTATAATAAAACGTCTACATTCGAAAATTTGAATAATAAAAGACCCGAACTATACGCCGTAGGTATTAGTTATTTTTTATTTATTCGCTCTTCTTCGGGCTTTTTTAACACTGGCACAGTACCTGAATAGTCTGATTTTATTATTTACTTGAGCTAATCGACGTTCAGCGAGAGAAAATTGCGTTTTTACTCAATGCATTTTCATTGTGTGTTTTTTTGGTTTTTAGATACTTAACTTGTACTTTTTTTAAGCACTCAACGCTGGCGGACTTATTCCCTTTTTGAAATAAAGTGGTGTGACACAAATGAAAAGCGTAGCGACGAATTAAAAAAACATATGTCAATTGTCAAATAATATATACCAACTACAAAAAATAAATTGATAAAATGTAAATAATTACTAGTTTTATAATATTTTAAAATGATAAAAATAAAAATGTTTTCATTAAGAAAAACTATAAAATTGAATCGATATTACTTTTGACAAAAAAAAAATAAATGAAAAGATTACCAATTCAGTACTTGCAACCTACCACTGTGTTTGACGTTTGGTTATCAAACGGGCAAAATATGAAAATGTTCGAAAGCTTTTCAATACCACAGGAAAGTAAAAGTTCGCATGAGTAATAATAATAATAATAATAATAATAATAATGAAAACCGTGAAAAGGGTGATTAACTGTACATTTCATCGAGATACGACTGAAGTAGGTTTTATTCATAAAAATAAAATAAAACAATTGGTAGCCATTGAAACACAATATGCGTGTACCGACAGTAAAAAAATAATCATATCGTAATCCTCACGTTTGAATTTACCGGCTTTCGTTTAGGTTTAAAAAAAGTTTTCGTTAGACACGTATAGGATTTTTGTTTATATTTGTATAAGGTATTTTTTTATTTAATCCCGATTCATATAAATACTATGTGTTTTTATTTTAAATAAAGTTATATTTTTACCATAAAATAGTCGGATTAATATTGTTTTTTTCCGAGCATTATTATTATTATTGTTGTCGTCATTCTATCGATTTTAAACTCAAAAAAAAAGCGTTGCAATATTTTTTTTATTACTCGTCGACGCTGAATAAAAAAAAAAATTCGTCTTGTATTTATGTGTCGTTAAAACGGCAAACTCGGCTTGTCCGGCGCCGTCGTGACATTTCGCTGTGATAAATAATTGGATTCGCGCTCTTTTCGTCCGGGCCAAGTGTCTCTAACGCCGAAATGTATATATATATACATACTGTATAAAAAAAAAACCTAAACCGATTCCACCATTGCATACAAGTCTAAAGATACAAAAGCGGCGACCGATTTCATGGGGATTCCCGCCGTCAACAGAGGTACCCTCTTCATAGTCTATGGAGGGGCGGACTGGTAACCTATGACGAGGGTACCTTTGTCGACGGCGGGAAACTCGCAGATATCGCTCGCCGTCCTTGTGTAAAGCATTGCTCATCTGAATATTTTTAAATAAACGCTAAAAGATACTTTATCGGGCCGGCAATTTCCAAGGTTCCTTCAAATTAAAAAAAAGTAACATATTTTTCAACCTAATACTACGGCGTGCTATAACTTTTTTTTTATAAATAGTCCAATTAGTTTTGAGATTCTATAGAATATTCTTTAGATATAGTAATATCGATATTATACGTTAGTAAACAAAAAAATATCAAAAACCCTTTGCCCCCAGAGGGGTGGAAACTTTCTTTACTTGTGTAGATTATATTATTTATATAACATGTAGTATTATTATAACTTAATCTACCCTAAAAAATACTTAAAAACCAGTTTCAACCACACATTTAAGCTTCAAATTTACTTCTATAATCTAAAAACAAATAAACTAGAAAGTACGAAAAAAGATACGAATTACAGAAAACAAATTCATACGATGTATCTATCATGTTTATTTATAAAATATTTAATAGTGCGCAGGCTATGTAATATTTGTAATAAAACGAAAGAATTAGTATTAAATGACCATAGAAATTGCCACAGCTATGAAGTCGACCAACTTAAAAAATGTTAAGATGTTAAGACTGTAGAAGAAGTAAAGAATGTAGAAGTGTGTTCATAATTTTAGGGTTTTTTAAATAAATCGAATAAACGACGGATAAATTAATTGACTAAATTAGTATAAATAAATTGAATTAATGAATAAACAGAGAAAAAAAAATTAGTAAATGAGTTAATTTACCTTATTTACATGCATAACTAAACCCGAATTAGTGGAATGCGCATTACTCTTATCCGTTTTAATAATTCGGTTTGTATGCAAGGATTTAATAAGTAGAAACCGAATTAAAGAATTACCAACCGTGTTTTCATTCATGAACAACTTTATTATTCGATTTATTCGTCATAAATCGAATTAGGTTTCTACTTAGCATTAACTATTGATATGCATTTTTAACTCTACGAGATATTCTTAATCCGATTTTCAAATGCGGAGTTACTAATTCGATCGAAGCCAACCGTTTATATTCGCTAACTCTGGAAGTCAGCTAATTCGGGAACGTAATAATGAATCGAGTAAACTATTAAGTTAATTGAGTATAACAAATAAATAAGTGAAGCATAACACGAAAAATATTTTGCGAAAAACCTCACGCACTTTCTTGGTCGACTACCGGTCCAAAAATATTATCATGTTAAAACTTATTTTTGATCGAAATAGTATAAAATATATTTAAAAACATTTTATAAACAAACAAAGTCAATGTATTTAGATAAATACTATAAAAATAATTTCACTCTAGATAATGGAATTTTTTACTTAAGAAAACGCTTTGGATAATTTTTACAAAAAATATCTTTAGACGAGATAAAAGATTATCATGAATATTTTATTATAATTGTCTAGTCAAGCATCGGCATCTGTAAAACCTTATGCGAATCACCGTGCCCGCTTCTAAACATGATGTACACGATTACATGGTTTTTCAAAGCAAAATCGTACAAGCTTCGTCTTATGGAAACTATTTGAAAGTCGATGTTCTACTTTGGCTGATATTTATTAGTTGTATTACGACTTATTTAGCGGATCGTTCGCGGCGTTATCTCGGGGGACCGATAAACCGGGACAGACCTTTATCGTACTAACCCTGGATAAAAAAATAGGGGTATTATCATAATAAAAACGTGACAGTGCCTCGTAAGCATGCCAAAGGATTTCGAGACAGAGGTGAATTGTTCACTGTAATAACGATAACGATATAGAAATTTTCTCTCTTCTTATATGTTCATCATTCATTCTGGGCAACATTTTTGTTCGTTTGTCGCAGAACATCATAAATGTGTTAACCTGAACTGGCAGAGATAAGTTTATACGGAAACTTATAAATAGTTAGACGGTTTAGATAGCCTCGAGTGATTAAATTGACTGCTATGAAAATCTTCTCCCTAGGAGGAACCAGAGATGACTATACACGGGCTGCTTAAGCTCCATTACTATTAAAACATGTTTTTTGAAAAAATCAGTTTCGCTACATTTCCCATCAGAATGTATGAAAACAAAAGACAACTGAAAAAGCACGGCGATTGTGCGCCAAGCCTTTGTGACTTTTGTTCCATTTAAAACTTACATGTTCATAGGGTAATAAAACCGCGTTCGGTTCACCGCTTTGATTGTAATATGGAAAAAAGAAAATTATAAGACCGCCATCGCTAATATAACAATTTGTTGTTTGTTTTTAGCATACCCAGTCCTAATGACGTATTGATCGCAAATAATACACATAAGAGTCACACGCGGAACCTGAACGTTTTCCAAGTCCGTCTGGTAAGTACAATGCGACTGTTTGATAAAATAACATAAAAAATATCATGCAATAAATGTGACCGAACTCGGTGCCATAAATCACTTTAACTCGGTTATATGAAATACAAAAGCATATAGAATACATGTATATAATTTAATATAGGTGTATTCTATATTACTTTGAGTATATATATATATATATTATATATATATATATATATATATATATCATATAATCACATTTATTTTGTTATAAGAATAATAACAATAATAATGTACATAAATTCCAAATGATATATTATTATGACCTCGGCCATCGACCAAGTTTTTTCTTCAGCAAAACGTCTTGGGGCCTTATATTTTATTCAAATATATTCGTTTGATGGATTTTGATTTTTTTCCCCCGCATATATTTTAAAAATTTCAATTTTGAAATATTATTAAATTCATCTCAATAATATGGTTATAAAATACCCATAAGTATGTTTTGAACACTTTTGTTTTTTGTTTCAATGTTTAATTTATATTTTTGATTTTATATTGCGTCCATGTAGAAATAATCTTAACTTATCACAGCTATGGCTCTGTAAAATTACCGGGTTTTCAAGTGGAGAAAGACAATTTTCCCTTCCACAACCAAGGTAAATAATGGTTATTATGAAATAAATACTTGGAGTTTAATCACGCTCGAAAACGTCTAGACAGACAATTTAATAACCGTAAGGCTGTGTAAATCGGTAAACGAGAGACTTAGCCGGTTTTTTAAATCCAAAAGTATCACTTTAATAATGACAATTGTAATAGTAATCATTTGTTATTTGTCAACAACAACAACAATACAAACATACATTATATTAATGTGATAAATTTATACCTAATAAGCACAGCTTGTAGTAGGACTTTACCTTTAACCAAATATATTGTCGAATAAATAGTTGTATTTTGTAAGTCTTGAAATTCTTTTGTTTTTCATACAAAACACACTACCTAGCACGTTGAAAAAGACGGTATTTTTAAAAGAAAAAGAAATAACCATACATATTATTATCATATATATTATTATTAGCTTTAGAGCCTCTCGCATAACATTTTAATAATAACATTTTTTATGTATATTTTGCACTATATCCAATAAAGTTGACGTTATTCGCTAGGCTTTTTTTTTTATTATTTGTCGCGTACTTTATTATTATTTTTTTTTATATGAAAAGAAGTTGTATTTTTTTGCTAACGCGATTTGCATACATTTCAAACGCAAATTTCTTCTATAATCATATGTATTCTACGCCGACGACGAAGCGACCAACGCTCGTTTTACAATAGAAAATTGCACTAGAGTTGAATATTTTCTCGTTTGCGATTTGAATTCATACTATGGTAACTGCGAAGCTGAAATGCGGAAAGTGTCAAACCGCGAATTGCCTTTTTGAAAACGTCACTGCGCCGATGTTAACGAGTATTACAAAAGAGTTTTTTTTTTGTAGTTTATGTTGTTAACAGTTCTGCTGTCGACCGGACCCGACGGCTTGGGTGTATTTCTGATTTAGTTTTTCGGGTACTTCGGGTTTTAGCATGTTCATCTCTGTCGGTTCAACGCAATCTTTATCGACAATACAATTATCTCGATTTATGAATTCGTTTAATAAATTTGTTGTTTACTCGTTCACTCAATTTATTTACTTGTTTATTCGATTTTTTCGATAGATTTGTTTACCCCCGACAAAGCCTAAAAACATTATTGTACTACTACGTTACTAGCTCAAAATTACTATATTTACTATAATTACTTACAATAGAAAACCGCATTGGAGTTAAATCCTTTATGTTTTTCTTTTTTGGCTCGCTGTTTTAAAAATGTAGGGGAACTTTGTTTTTTTTTTGTTTTTTTAGTGGAATATATTATAGCTTTACGATGGCTCAAATGGTTTTTTCATGAATTAGAGCCCACCGGCGACAGCGAAATATCCCGGTTCGACCGTACCAATAATAATTTTATAAGACAATGTTATTACATTGCCTCGTTTTCGTAATCTATTTTAACATGATAATATTTTAAAACTATGGAGCCGACCATTATGTGTATAAAACAAACTAAAAATGTTTAATTAATTATTCTTAAATTGGTTTTTAGTTCAGCAAATAAAAAAAATGAATTCTACCTATTTGAAATACATTTTAGATAATTATTTACAAGTAGTACACACGATGAAATTACTAACAAATGTGGTTTTTTACAATTTTGGAGACGATTTAAAACATAATTATACGTTCTAGAGAAATTCTAGACCAAATTTATATGAATGGGTTATTGTTTCAAAATCGTATTGTAAGTACGGTGTAATTAATGTACAATTTGTTTATCATATAATCCTACACGTTGTCTTTGGCGTTTGATAAGTACCAACTAAATAAAATAAAATAAGACTCTAATTTTATTGTACAATGTATGTACAATAATATAATCTCGATATATTGTATTGTACTTTAATTGTATTATGTAAAAAAAAAATACAAATTTAATAATTCATTTGTGCGTTATGAGAGTGTGTGCGCCCTTACACGACTTTTAAAAATTGTTTTTTCTCTTTTCCGGTTAGTTTTACAGCTACTTGTTTGCGTTTTTTTTTGCTCGAAATAAGGTTGATTTATTGTTATTAGCAGTTTTATTTCAACGCATTCTGCAGTGTTTCTACTATAAATAACTACAATAGTGTTTATTACATAATATATAAAATATTACTATGGCACACGGCTTGGTTATAAAATAACACACCTATATACTTTACAGGGACAGCAATAACAGTTGATATTGTTTTTTATTCATATCGCCATAATGAATAATAATATTTGCATTATGGCCACACGTTAAACACACGTGGTATGTGTACAATTTATCAATTATACATTTAACTTCAAATTTTTAACAATAGGTAAGTATTTAATTTGAATAGTTGTAAATAGAACCAATTAATGAAATTATAAAAAGGATTTGTGATGTTTGCTTATTTCGTGAATTGTGTATATTAAGGTCTAAAAATTCGACTAAATGTAATGTGTTCCTCCTATACATAACGTGTAACGCATGGTTGCCTTTACAAGGATTTTGAACGAAATTTAATGTTCGAACAGAGTCACATCGAAGCGTTTTTATCTGGTAGTGATTTCATCGAGTTATAATAATTCCCAAAGTTTTGTCACTATGTGCCCGACACTACTGTGCTGGCTTTTTCTCTTATCTTTTATCGTTTCGTTACTTGTTTAATAGCTGTCGCTTTGAAGAAAACAAAAACTGAAACAAAAGTTTTCGTATTTGATAGTGCAGTGAAAAACGTAATCGAAACCTATTTCGGAGCACGTGCCGACTACGATTGATCCTCTAGTCTTAACCCCGAACAAAGTGCTCGAATGGGTATTGATGGTGTAGATGAGTTATACAGGGTGAGTGGTCAACTATAGTCCAGTCAATAACTTTAATATTAGACATTTTTAAATTGTCCTTTATCATACTTGTATAATTATTATTTTGCGAACTAGCTACTAGAAAAGAATAATTTGAAATACAACTTAATCTGATATAACGAGTATCAGAGCTGGTGTTGCACAGAGAGGCATTTTCTCTTCCGTTCTATACAACATGTATGCTTCTTGTTAGGTTATAATACAAATAAACAAGCGCAGATCCTTTGATAACTTCCACCGAACTACAGAACCATCTTTCTCTTATGGAAGATTGGTATAAAACGTGGCGGTTTAAAGTCAATTAAACCGAATCCCTCCTTAGCGCATTGTCCGGATGTAACTCTCTATGGCACCCAAATTCCAACAACCCCGTCTATAAAATATCTCGGGCTGACACTCGACCGTCGACTCAACTGCGGTCACCATATCCAGGCCAAAGACTTCGACTAAACTCCCGCCTACGTACGTTATGAACACTACTTATTCGTTAATAAGTAGTGTTTATGTTATGTATATTGTTGTATACACACAAGCTTAAATATTAAATTACTCATGTAAAAATATTTTTTTAAACCGATCTGCACCTACGGCCTCCATTTATTGGAGAATTCTAAAATCAAAAAAAGTCTTTCAAAATATAACCCTGCTACATAAATAAAAACAAACACAGGAGGTACCATCAATGGGTGGCTGTTTTCATCGAGGTGCTTGTGTTTCTTTTTTTTTTGTTTGTATTTTTCTCTCAGCTTATACTCATATTGTACCTAGAGGTACTGACTGGGTCATAGTTAACCAATCACCCTGTACACACAGAGTTCCGGCCGTACACGCCTTCTTCGTCTCTCTTATCCCGGGCCAATAAACACGTACGAAAACAGCGCGTGCCTTTCGTGTACAATATATAATAATATATTTATTGTAACCCGATCTCGTCGTCTGTCGCTTCCCGTATAGCTTCCACGGTGAACGGATTGTTCGGCATCCGGAAGGTCGATTTAACAACTCCGAATCGCGGCCACCTACAAAACGGAAACGGCGCATTATGCATGAGCATGGGGTAAAGGAGACAACGCCGGACCGGACAGACGCACCGGAATAGCGTTAAAAAAGTGTGCAGGGTCGAATGGCGGTACGGGTGTAAAAAACGAGTCATCGATCATTCAAGGGAAGTCCCGGGCGTTGACCGATCTCTCAGACTCGACAGCGGTAATATTAGGCTTTCTGGGATAGAAATTAAAAAAAAATAAAACCAACATTATTCGAAGAAATTGACAGTAAAACAAAAAAAAAATCTTATTAAAAAAAAGCTTTTGTCCAAATATTTAGATGGTAATAAAATGATTAAATCCCTATATATTCGTAGAGCGATGCGTTAAGGATAAAAAAAATAATAACAATAAAAATAAATTATTAGGATTGTAAATAATAATAAATTTGACGGGAAAAATCCGTCAATTTTATTTTTACCCATGGCCTACGGCCACGGTACCGACCTTTCGCCCCGGCAGGATGGTCTTCCTATTACTTTTACCCACTTCACATGTTTTCATCGACGATATATA